AAATACAGTATTTAAATTTCATAATAAAATACAATTGTCAATAAAATACAGTTTTTGAACTTCACTATTTAAAACAAAAATATGATACTAAAATACAGCATTTAACCTTCTTTATTAAATACAACTATGTCACTAAAATACATTAAATTATGCAAAAAAAATATATATATAGCCGGTCTGAACCATGCAGTTTAAAAATAGTTTCACATCTCAGCCCCCAAAACATAAATCAGTAAGTAAATAACCAAACGCATGATGAGATAAGCATTTTCCAAAAGTCTGAGAATGGAGAGACGTGATAAGCACCTGTGAAATGTAGTGCGACTCACATCTTTGTGCCAATTCATCTATTTATTTATTTATTTCTCTCTTGCTAGTATAATTTGTTTGTGGCGTTTTGTTCACGTAAAGCCTTTATTCCAGGCATCTCATTATAAGCTTGAGTCCGGAATGAAAGATGTATCCACTTTAAGCCCTCGTGTTTTCATCTGCTTTTTCTAAAGTCTGCACTCCAGAGCCAATTCTTAGCTCCATTTAACCCGATGCGCCGCCAGTGACTGATTTCAGCACACCTCAAACACTCAGCTAATGTGGAACTGAGATGCACAGGAATATTCATAACATCCCCAGCAGATGCCTGACTTGACAAAAGTGCTTTTTCTTTTTATATTGAATGTTTGATGCTGTATCTATTAAAGACCAAGCCTGAAAATAAACATGAAAGGCTGCAACCTTATAGTGGAAAAGGTCTCCAGTTGTATTTATTCATTTGTATTATTTTAGAAAAGGTTATTTTAAAAGACACGTCAAGTTATTTATTTATTTATTTATTTTTTTATTTTTTTATTTTTTATGTTTCCATGGAGGTTCCATGGGTTTTACGTTTGTATTTAAGCATTTATGGGACATATTATCATATTTGTTACATATCATTAATCAGTTTTATTTTAGGTGATAATTTGTTTATTATTATTTAATTAATATTTTTTATTTGATTAGATTTTTATTTGTTTGATTTTTATTTATTTTATTTATTTCTTATATTGTAATATTATTTTATTTATTATTTTGTATGTTTATATTTTATTATATTATTTTTATTTGATTTGATAATATTTTTTATTTAATTTTATTATATTTTAATTATTTNTTATATTTATTTTA